TTAACGAATCAGAGAAATGTGTAATTCTAAATATAGTTCTGGTTTTGAATTTCAAAAATATTATCTACAGAGTGAAAATAAAGGTTGAGCAACTGCACTATTTGCCTCTCATTATATGTCTTTTCAAATAATTTTCTTGTGATCCAATTTAAGATCTGAACTATAGTAGACAACTAATTTTCATAGAGAGAGAGAGAGAGAGAGAACTAATAATGTGTGAACATCAAGATTTTTAATAGCTAGGTCATACATGACATTAATTTGTTGACCAATAATATCTCAACTTGAGTACCCGCAATATCCTTCGTCAAATAAGTCTCATAAGTTTAATGTATGTAGAAGAGTACAAATTTGCTCGGAACATCCTAAAGTAGATGAGGGATGTTCTCATCTCTTCGTCAGGAAATGAGTGAATCTCAGCCGTCTAAAGATCAGGGCCAGCCCTGGGGTAAGCGCACCAAGCCCCGGGGCTGGGGCAACTCAGGGTCGGGGATTCGGATCCTCTCCACTACAAAAAAAATAGTGGAGGGACCACTACATAATCACAGCCATTGATTATCTAGTTGATGGTTATGATTTTTTCTTTTAGTGTAAATTAGGAATGAGTGCAATACACGGGGGTATGGTAAGTGTTAGATTTAGATTGTATCATAACCGCCTACTAAATAATCAACGCTTGAGATTAAAAGTAGTGGTCTCTCCACTACTTTTTTGTAGTGGAGAGGATCCAAGGGGGGCAACTAGCGGGTGGCATACATACTCCCATGGGACCTCGCCGGAGTCGGAGGCAGTGTCGCCGCTTCATCCACCCCTTGCGACCCTCTGGAACCGCCATGGCTCTTCAGATCCTTCCAAACCCTAGCCTCCATCGCCACCCAAACCCTCAACAAGAGCGCGCTCCTCGACTGCCGGCGCCTAGGGTTCAGATCTCGCCGGAGAAGCAAGGCTAGGCCGAGCACCAGGCGCTGGCGAGCAGGAAGGATGCGACGATGATCGAGTTCTACTCGCCCAAGTGCAAGCTTTGTAGCTCCCTGCTTGACCTCGTTCTTGATTTGGAGGCCGAGAATGAGGATTGGGTTCTATTTGTGCTTGCGGATGCCGAGAATGAGAAGTGGCTCCATGAGGTTAGTTTCATGCTCGATTTCTGACTGCTCGGTAATAAAAGGGAGCTTGACCGCTCTGAGTAAAAGGAGAAGAATAAGGATTGGTTCTTTGATTGAGAAAATTGGAAGAGATTTATTTGGAAGGAAAGACACTTAAATTTGTTTTTGAATCTATACAAAATTCTTTTTTTAAAACTTAATTAAATTCTACTTTAAAGTAGAGTTGGGATGTGTTTAATGATAAGTTTAACAAATATTAATGGTTAGAAAGTTACAAATTTAATCACAAGGGAACATTCAGTTAAAATTTTTGACGTTTACATGATCCTGAGGATAGTAACTGCCAAGTTTGAACAACTTGCGGTGTTTATTTGCCACAAAAAAGAACTCATAGTATCTAAGTTCTAAAACGGGGATAATTTCTGGTATTTAAGTGTCATTTAGCCTTTGTGAAATGTGTCAATGTTACCACTTTAGCTATATCTTCTGTTTGGAGTAGTGATGCTTTACCAAATGTACATTTTTTTTCTCTTTATGGTAGACCCTTTGTCGCTTCGGAGAAAGTTTTAAAGTTTTTGCTCTACTGTTAAAAGAGCTCATACTACAAGTAGACCCTTTGTCGCTTCGGAGAAAGTTTTAAAGTTTTTGCTCTACTGTTAAAAGAGCTCATACTACAAGAGCAGCAAGGTTTTCTAACTGACAAAAAGTTTTTGCTCTACTGTTAAAAGAGCTCATACTACAAGAGCAGCAAGGTTTTCTAACTGACAAATGCCTTTTTTTAACTTGTGCCGGGATAATGTCTTCCCATAATTCATTTCCCAGAGGCACACAATTGTTTTAACAAAAAACTTTCAAAACGTGGATAATTGTTCGTACCAAATTTTTAATATAAAAGGCAATCAAAATTGGATTGGGCTAGGGCAACCCAAACCTCGGGGCCGGCCCTGCTAAAGATTATGGTTTATTGGAACGGGCAATGTGAAAAAGAATGTTATGATTTGTAAATGAGAAATGTTAAACTTATAAAGAAATTTGTTAAAAGAAGGAACTGCGCTGCATAATTGAAAAATGCTATCTCCATCTCCATGCAAATATCTGACTGCTATCCAACCGAGAGAGCTACAACCTACAAGTCTACGTCTATGGGAATTTTTCATAGCTTAACCGAAACATACATGCTATTGATTGCACACAATAGGAGAGCACTATTAACTCGTTGCAATTTTTTTGAGGGGCAATGTTACCCCTCGAGAATCCCTCTTTTGTCCTTTGAGTAGACTCGCACTACCACAAAATAGATATATGGGGACGGTTATTTGGGGACGGTTCAAAACCGTCCCCTTTGCCTCCTAAGGGAACGGTTGTGTGACGGTTACAATCGTCACGAAAAAGTCTAAGGCAACAGTCCAAAATAAAGTGTTGGCCTTGAATTAGACTTAAAAAAAAATTAGTAGGCTAAAGGTACGGTTTTGTAAAGGACTCGCGCCCAAACTTTTTTAACAAAATTTATTTTCTCTCAGAACCGCCTGACCCGATAACTAAAAATTTTCTTCACCCGATAGTTAGGGTTTCTCATCTTCCTCTCCTCTCGTCAAATCCTCTCCTCGCGTCGACTACCCCGTGCGCCGTCCGCCACTCATCTCCTCTCGACGACTCCCCCGTTCGCCGCTCTCTTTTTTCTCTCGTCGACGCCTCCGTTCGCCGCCGGCCACCTTCACTTCGTCAGTTCGCCGCGCCTCCGCCGTTAGCTGCGCCTCTCGTCGCTATCCCCTCTCTATCATCTTGTGATTTGGGGTATATCTCTCTCCTTTTCAGTCATGGGTTTCAATTTTTTTTCCTTTTTCTCTATTTAATGAAAATTTTATTTGATTTTACAAATTAGGGCTTTGTTGTTTTGGTTGATCATTGAAGGTGGTTAAAAATTCTACAGCCTTACTGGACAAGGTTATTCCGCAAAATTGAATTGGTATATGTTTTTAATTTTTGTTTAAGATAATTTATTTTTTCTATTTTTTCTGTTTATGCTCTTCACTGTAGCCTTCGGTTGATTTACATACTAGAGTTTATCACTAACAGAACAAACATATGGTGACATACTGCATGGTAGCAATAAAAATTTGTCACGGGGTTGTTCAAGAGTGTTTCTGTAATTCAGTAAGTGATTTAAGACTCTTCCGAAGACAAACTAAGATTAATCTGAACCTCTGAGACATTGTAAGGTAATGGGGGAAAAATTATAATACAATAAAAGAAAGTAAGGAATGGAGATGAGTACCGTATCTTTTCCTCCACTTCTCAAAGTATGCGAACACTGTCGGACCTCTGAGACATTATAATTTTCCCCCCATTACCTTACAATGTCTCAGAGGTTCAGATTAATCTTAGTTTGTCTTCGGAAGAGTCTTAAATCACTTACTGAATTACAGAAACACTCTTGAACAACCCCGTGACAAATTTTTATTGCTACCATGCAGTATGTCACCATATGTTTGTTCTGTTAGTGATAAACTCTAGTATGTAAATCAACCGAAGGCTACAGTGAAGAGCATAAACAGAAAAAATAGAAAAAATAAATTATCTTAAACAAAAATTAAAAACATATACCAATTCAATTTTGCGGAATAACCTTGTCCAGTAAGGCTGTAGAATTTTTAACCACCTTCAATGATCAACCAAAACAACAAAGCCCTAATTTGTAAAATCAAATAAAATTTTCATTAAATAGAGAAAAAGGAAAAAAATTGAAACCCATGACTGAAAAGGAGAAAGATATACCCCAAATCACAACATGATAGAGAGGGGATAGCGACGAGAGGCACGGCTAACGGGGGAGGCGTGGCGAACTGACGAAGTGAAGGTGGCCGGCGGTGAACGGAGGCGTCGACGAGAGGAAAAAAGAGAGCGGCGGATGGGGGAGTCGACGAGAGGAGATAAGTGACGGACGGCGCACGGGGGAGTCGACGAGAGGAGAGGATTCGACGAGAGGAGAGGAAGATGAGAAACCCTAACTATCGGGTGAAGAAAATTTTTAGTTATCGGGTCAGGCGGTTCTGAGAGAAAATAAATTTTGTTAAAAAAGTTTGGGCGCGAGTCCTTTACAAAACCGTCCCTTTAGCCTACTAATTTTTTTTTAAGTCTAATTCAAGGCCAACACTTTATTTTGGACTGTTGCCTTAGACTTTTTCGTGACGATTGTAACCGTCACACAACCGTTCCCTTAGGAGGCAAAGGGGACGGTTTTGAACCGTCCCCAAATAACCGTCCCCATATATCTATTTTGTGGTAGTGATAAGAGAGAGTATTCTTATATATACTTATATAAAAGAAAGCATACTTATATATACTTATACATATATATACTTATATAAGAGAGAGTATACTTATATATACTTATATACAAAGAGAGTATAATATATGTATATATATTTATATATACATATATTATACATATATACTAAGAGAGTATAATATATGTATATATATTTATATATACATATATTATACATATATACTAAGAGAGTATAATATATGTATATATATTTATATATACATATATTATACATATAAAAAAATAAAAAAGCCACTTCTTCCTTTTCAGGCTTCTATCATATTACCCAGTTGTTTGACTAAACTGTGATACCTTACACATTGTGGTTTTGTTTTTTTCTCCAATTAATCTTCCTATATTTAGAAAGTGAAGAAAAAAGATATTGGTAAAGGAATTCTCAATAATCCTTCTTACTCAAATATTATTTTTCTATTACTCTTCATTTTGAGTTTCCACTTCTACAAGAAAATAACTTGATAGAAAAAAAGTAATTTTTCATATTTTAACAAAGGATAAATATATATATGTGAAAAGAAACTCTTGTGTGAAAAGAAACTCTTGTATCAATTTATCGAATATAGTACATACCATATGATATTTCATCTTTTGAAATGACTGCATGGGAAGTAAGAAGGATTACTTATGATTCCTTAATAACCCATAGACATGTCTGCTGGCCTGCAAATCACAGGATGGTCAGCTCATGATTCTGCTGTAAGCTCTGTACTATTTGGACTGGATGAGACTAGTATCTTCAGTTTGGGCTCTGATGGGAAGGTATGCTAGTGGCTTCATGAATTGCAAAACACCCTTTGTTTGAAGCGGATCAAATTAACATCTCTGCCTAGCCTATTCTCTCTGAAAGTGTGAATATTCATTTTTGCCAATTTTCACTTCTGAAACATATATGCAGCCATTGCGAGTAGGATAAAGTTTATTCCTTGACTTGATACGCCCATAACATCTCTGCTTGTTTCCTCTGAAATTCTGATCTTTCATTTATGCCAATTATCACTTCTCAAAGCTTAAGTTTGTGCCAACTAAAGCCTTGCTCCATGGTAAAGGTAAGGTGTGAGATTAGATAATGGGAGCAACCTTTGTTCAATAGAAAGAGGAAAAAAGAAGGCTTGTCATTATCTTCACAAAGAGTATTTTCTGTAAATGACTTGATAATTTCTATGTTGTAAATGACTTGATAACTTTATACACATACAGTCCATTTCATTCTACTTGTGCTTACTCATCTTTTTATCTTGATGTACGCAGGAAAACATCTGAAGATCCATGTTTGTCGCTCTTTAGGGGATTTATCTGTTGTGAAGATTTAGAACTTAATCGTCCCAATAGAGACATTTTGACCTTTTGATTAAGTAGTAGCTCTTTGTTTTAATCATGGAGGATTTGTGATATGTGCTTAATTTGGTAAGTTTGTGTGTAAAACTTGTGAAGAATTATCTCAATCCTATTGCTATAATATTGTTCTTCGTTGTAATGAATTGTTCATTATATTAAGGCTAAAGTTTGGTTAGTTTGTGTGTAAAACTTGGACTATTGTTTCTTTGTATGTGATGGACTGATGTGTGATATCTGGGTGATTTATTTTGATCAGTATAAAATGAAAACCGTCCCCTTTGGTATAAAAATCATCCGCATAGATCACAAACAAAACCGTTCCCATAGACAATATAACTGTCCTCTTAGGTCAAGCTCGAAACCGTTCCCCTTGGTATAAAAACTGTCCCCATGGAAACCGTTCCTCTTGCTATCAAATTGTTCCCATTGCTTAGAACCTAAAAACCGTTCCCCTTGCTATCAAACCGTTCCCGTTGCTTAGAACCTAAAAACCGTTCCCCTTGATATACAACCGTTCCACTTGCTCTAAACCAAGAACCGACCCCTTAGCACAACCGTTCCCTTATGGTACTATTGGGGACGGTTTACAAATCGTTGCACTAGGAGCATAAACCGTCCTATTAGACCTACGGGCACGGCTGCAAACGAGACGGATGTAGAACCGTCCCCATAGGCTTAGTGTGACGGTTTCCATGCCTAGGGTGACGGTTCACAACCGTCCCCATAGGCCTCAAATGTGGTAGTGTCGTCAGATTGGATCTAAGATGTCCAGGGTTTGCAATTCATGTTGCATTCGGGGTCGGGCGCATGACATCAGAGGAAGCTGGGGCCTTTTTTTCTCTTTTGGGTGCATCTCTTCTCTCGAGTCTTGAGAGGTGACAACAAGCATTTACTTGGTTAGTTTTTTGCTTCTTTGAACCCCTTTCCTCTCGTGGTTAGCTTCTCCCCCTTGCTCGCGTAGTTGTTGGCCATAATTCTTGTTGGCCCACTTGTCTTCTCACATTTATGTAAGGAATAAGTTTGCATTGGCACGTGATGCCACACCAGACCCTTAAGCCCTAGTAAAATCTCCTGTCAAAACTTAGGAGGACCCTTTTCACCGGCTGATAAAAGAAAACAAGGGTTAGTTACATCTGTACCCCTTAAATCATTGGTATTTAAAAAAACATCTCTCGAATCTTAGTATTTGCAAAACTACTCTTTAATTCATCAATTTTGAGGGGAAAAAAATGCATCTAATCGACCAGTCATAATCTTTTATAGGCTAATTTGTAACTATGATGGAAAAAACCAGAAAAATCGTAAATTTTTACGCGCCAAATTTATGATTTGTAGATTTTAGGGGTGTTTTTCTTAAGTTGATGATTGAGAGTAGTTTTGAAAATACTAAAATTTGGAGGGTGGCTTTTCAAATACACATGATTTAAAGGGTATGTATGCGAAGAACGCTTGAAGGCAACTAATTTTAAAAAACTCCTCTTAACTTTGGGATGTTACAAATAACTCCCTGAACTATTTTAATTCAAGAAAATCCCCAAATATTATGGGTTCTTGGAGATAACTCCCTAAGCTTTTCTTATCCTCTTAACCCTTCCAAATTTTGAGGTGTCTCACAAATCTCATTTAAACTTAAAACTTTTCTCACCAAAACTCTTATCTGCGCTTAGAAAGAAGCAAAATTTTTCTTGAGAAAAAAATCATTAATCAATTTAAGGGCAATGTACTCTCCCCTTCTCAATAGAGGAGTTTTTTTAAGGACAAGTTTAGTTATTTACCAAGTACATATAGGGGTTAATGGTAAGAAGTTTAAAATTCA